AAAGAATGACCATTGTTCGGATTTCGATTCCTTAACTGCTAGCATCTAAGTGGTGAGAGGAAACTTAATGAAATACTTTGTGCTGGGAATTTTATATTGTGCCAAAAATATGATAAAGTCAGTATTAATAATAATAATAATAATAATAATAATAATAATAATAATAATAATAATAATAATAATAATAATAATAATAATAATAATAATGTATAAAAGCCCAAATTATCCCGTATTCACTCAAGGCGTTTAACGCATTACTTTACAATAAAGACTGACTTTAATTTACTTAAGGAACGTAAAAACTAAAGATCGTTTGTCTTTATGAATTATAGAAAACAAAATTCTGTTTCACACACAAATTCGGGTCATAATAATGTGTCACACAGTTCGTCAGTTCAAGACTGGGTAAAGGGATTTGTAATTTACTCTGCATCCCATTATTACACCTCAGGGTTAGTGACTCTACCTATATCCTTGATACATACTTCATGTGATTCGAATCTCCAACTTTGTGACATAAAGTTGAGTGTTTAAACCACTAGATTTTCAATCTACAAGTAGTTCAGGTGATTTTCCAAGTACAGACTTGGATATCATGCATCGCGCACGTTGTGACAAAGATATGGAAATACTAATAAATTATCCGAACCGAAGTCGGTCGACTGAGCTTAGAATAAAGTTGTCTCATGATAATCAGAGCCTGACAAACAGTGTAACAATTAAAAAACGACGATAAATCTAACAACCTAACAAGGTGATGATACTGCCACTTATTGTAATTACAAAACAAAGACTGTTATTGCTCGACGCAAGTAGTAAAAACTAAAGGTTTTAGTATACGCGAACCATAAATCCACAACTAATCACAATGACATCAGAAAATTACAACGCGATGGATGATTTTGAATATCCAGCCGTTAGATAGATTTGAATACTTCGAACCAGTAGTAAGTGATATTAATTAATCAACGATTTAGTAATGTCTACTTATCAATATCAATAAATTAAGCGCCTAAACTGAGAAATGTAACTCAATACTGAATGACATATTTGTTTTCTTATTAATGGTAGGATTGAATGGCTGTTTTTTCAAACCAGTTCTTTTCATTCACAGAATTGTTTGACGGTCTATAGACCCAAAGTGACATCCTGAAAGCGATTAATGATAACCGTTAAGTTCATTTCATTCTAGAATTAAGACCATGGAAGAAGAGATTGTATCAATCTATTTTGCACACACAATTCTGGTTTTTCAAAATGTATGGCTATTGCTAGGGCAATGCAAAGATGATGACTTTGAACGCAGAGTCAGTCTTGATTGAGTGAACTATGTTCATAAGGTTTTCGATTATTGAACTTCTTATTGAGCCGTTTCCTCCTCATTTTAGCCACGTCATTTCATTCTGTTTATCCTCTTCTCATCTCATCCATTATTTATGTATCGCTTTATACTACTTATCAATATTCAGTAACCAGTTCTATATCTAATAATTTCTGAACATATGGTGCAACATTCTTTTATTACCACTTAGTATTTTGAAGTATTTATATGAACTAATAGCATTTCCTGTATTTATCATTTTAATCAACATCCCTCAACCTTTGTAGCAGTTATATCCATTTTTTAATTCCTTAAATCTATACTTAAATGTGACCTCATCCATATTAGTCGTTGATCAATTGTTGTTAACATTAGACATAGTTATCAGTTGTCATCTACGTTAACATGTTATGATTACTCTTTGTATCAACATTACAAGAAGATTTCATCTTTCCAGACATGCAGTCACCCTGTTTGTCACAAATAACTTACGAGTTAAGATTTGTAACAAATTTATGTATATTCCTTAATAATAGAACTGTTCTTTAGACAAATCGTTATTTTTTGAACTTTGGTTTCATGCGTATCTTAGTCATGCAGTTGGAAGCTTCGATAGATCGACCATTATTATTTCTCTTTACATTAATTGCTTACTCTTGTTACGTTGGTAGAGGAGCATAAGCCGCCCACTAGGATTCTACAACCTCGATACTCCAATTACATCGCGAGCAACCCTTTCTAGTTTTCCCAATTGATATTCATTCTTTTGATGTCTGCCTTCAATTTTTGACACAAAGTGTTTTTTTTGGGTTTTATCCTCTCCTTTTACCTTCAAAATTCCCACCTCATGATCTACTTTGATGACTTTCGCAAATTATGTCCTACCTACCACCGGTGTCTTCGCCTAGTTTCTACTCCAGATGTAAGTTAGTTTGTTCTCTGCACCAATAGGTTGTTATATCAGTTTTTCAAGTTTCAGCTCCATATTGCAGAATTATTTATAAGTATGTATAAAATTCACTGGGGTGAGTATGAAACGAGCTATAACAATACTACTTGATAGGATTTTAAATGTTTTACATCTATGTATTCACTATATGCAAGGATGGATGGGTCTCAAACAGAACAAAACGCGCGTCAAACTGGATTCCACTGCTAGCCACTATCCATCCTACCTCATAATGCTTGTGAATTAAGACAATATCAAGTCAATCAGCACACGATGCACGTATGCCAATGGGAGACTAATCAATTACAGTTCTAAATAACAATGAAAAGATACAAGCAAACAATACCAAGTGGATTTATACTACTGTTTCTATATTGTAAACATCTAAGGAAATAGATGAATCCATGTTATTCTGTTACTACTTTTATTCTATCTTTATTCAAACTTGAAAAATTGTTTAAAAATGATCTAAATAATAGAAAATTTATGTTGACCTAATTTATTTGTGAATACAATTGTTAGTAAACATCCGAGTATGTTAAACATATTCAGTTCTTATATTTTTCCTTAAAAAGTAGCCATAAATTCGAAGTGCTTATTTCTAATGGTATTTAGTTTTGTAAAATCAGATGAGGGTGGCTTACGAAAAATTAGTTTTAAACTATGCTCACAAGGCAAGCCCTCATTTGGAATCCTCGAGGCCAAAGGAAAAGAGGAAGATTAAAGAACACATTACACCGAAAAATGGAGACAAACATGAGAAGGATGAACAACAATTGAGTAGAACTAGAAAAGAAGAACAGGGTGTGTTGGAAAATGCTGATCGGCGGCCTATGCTCCACTGGAAGTAACAGGCGTAAGTAAGTAATTTGAATCGAACAATTAAGACTTTATATACAGGACCAATTGGTAATACTCAGTGATCAGTCAATACAATTAGTTTACACCTACATAAAACCAGTCGATAGTTGATTAGCACAAAACGTAAGCTCAAGTTTCTTATTGCTTAAATTAAACTAAATATCATTCAAACATAATGTATGGAATACCCGGCCGATTAGACTATTGGTTATACTTCAAAATGGTTGATAAAATTTAGTCGGTACAACGAACTAATTACGAATCGATGATTAACCAATGCAAATATCAAGTACTACCGGGTTTCTAATAGTTATCTAGTCTATGTCAATCCGTGATAAAAATTCCTTTCAAACAAATCTACTCAAAGCACTTATCGAAACAACTTAGATGTTTTATTACATAACTATCTGGGAAAGAGTAAGTCGAATTGATATAAGTTTCTATCAAATTTAATAACAAACAGTTGATTATTATCAATTCACTCTAATACACATTAAGATTGTACATTTTAGAACATTATATATAAATCTTTAAATGTTAGATGATTTATTCAATCGTAATCAGATAAACTTCCGAATTACTCTGAATTAATAAGTAGGTCAAAATTAATTTCTTCTTATTAGCACAGACAGGCAACTTTAGTCTAAAAGTATGTTAAATCATATGATCAGTACCATTCTATTTTTATTTATTTATTTTAACACATAGATATTGGTACAAGGAGGTACCAAATACATATGCGTCACACAGGTCTCATTTGATTTGTGTGAGGGCTGTGAAACTGTCTAGATACCCAAACCGAAGAGAGTAGTTTTCTTAGGAGGCCACATCCGAGGCCTTCGACATGAAGGGCTGATCCACAAGGCAGTGAAGCATCGTAAGGATATGCAGTCCCAATGAAGCCGATCACCAACGATTGGTTCATACGCCATTTGTTCCTTCAGTGTATTGTAGCCCATGTGCACCATTGGTTTGGAATCAAGGTTTCCCAACTCCCCTAGGTGGACTCTCTGTGTCCACCAATCCGGTTAAAGCGCCGGACATTCGCTTTTCGTCCTCTCAATTTCGTAGACAACACCCGCGCCACGAGAAGGCAGTGAGTAGGATTTCTCTGGCAGTGGCTGTATACGCGTGGTCATGTGGGAGCATTTCGAGAGGAAGAGCGGATTCTGCCCACTCTCGGTCGTACCAGGGCATTCGGCAGCTCAGTACCATTCAGACTGCGATTTCTTAAATTAACAGATTTCCAAAAGAATAATTTTGATCAGAGAAGGATTTTGTGGAGATTTAATAATTGAATTCATGAGTCAATTAAAGCTAGACTACCATGAAAAAGTTGGAAGCACTGGACGGCCGTTATGTCCTAGTATGAAACTCCACAACAGTACGCATCCAAGCCCCCCGCCTCGTGAGATTCGGACCCACGACCTATCAGTCTCGCGCGCGAACGCTTAACCTTTAGACCACTGGGCCGGCCGGCATCCAACGGCATTAATGTCTAACTTTAACCAATCCACGAAATCGTGCCACCGTCCACTATTGTCTTCAGTGAGTTACTAACTTACAACAGACCCAATTGAGATCCACTGGTCACTGCTTCTTACCAGAACTTCAGGAAATAAGTCTTGGAGACAGTCACTAGTGAGCATATGATCATTATCATCAGAGTGAAGTTTTGTGGAGATAATTGAGATCATGAGTCAATTAAAGCTATACTACTAGTACTTTCAAGTTTTTCATGATAGTCTAGCTTCAATTATTTCATGAATTCAAGAATAATCTTGATTTCAACTTACTGATCATTACAACGATATAGTCATGTTCTTGTTTTATTATTTCTCATCGATGAAAAGACAAGAAAACCATATATAATAATAACAACCATATTAACAATACACTTACGCATATGGATAATACAGTTTGTTTTGTTGAAAAGAAAACCTAAATTGAACTAATCAAACGTATAATCCAAAATAAATAAAAAACAAACAAACAAACCAACAAAAAAACAACAACAACAACAACATTCAAACAAAACTGATTGACAGATATAATAAACAAATAAACTTCCATTAATTTTTGTTTAAACCATTTGAATTGAATATGAATAAACAAATAAATGCATTACCATTAGAGCTCGAGTTCAAAGATGAATTTTTTTATTCTTTTTGAAAGACAAATATATAAAAAAAAATCCATTAAAAAAGAAAAGAAAAGAAAACAATACTGTCAAATAACCATGAACTGATCTTAAATTCAGCAATACCAATATAATTAGATTAAATCATTAATTATTAAAACAACATAAAAAGGAAACTAAAGAAACAATAGAATATTGATCAATTTAAATTGTACCGCTCTTTTTTGTTTGTTTGAAAATTGAACATTCTGACATAATGCTCGGAGAAGTTACATAAATTATAACATAAATGATTGAAGAAGAAGAAGAAGAAAAAAGAAAATGATTTGAACAAAAACTATATTAATACTAATTGATTAAAAGGAAAGAATTGAGAACCCTGTCATATGAACTAAAGAAAAAAAAAGAAATACCAAAACAGAAACTATGGCAACAATTATATATATTGATTAAATTTTGAAAAAAAAAAAAAGAATACAACTATTATGAATTATGTAATAAATGAGTAAACGATAATATGTAAAACAGATTTATTGAACAAATTCAATGGAAACAAGTTTATTTACTTGTTATGAATATATGTAAAGCTCTTCTTCTTCTTCTTCTTCTTTTCTTTTAGAAAATACCTAAAATACAATTTATAATTCTATTTGTTTTCTTACTAGAGAAAAACAAAACAAAACAACTGAAGGTTAACAATCGTCATGTATATGTATTATGTGTGCATATGCACTTTTCTGTTTAAACAAATATTCGATAGTAAATGGTAAAAAAAAATAAACAAACAATTGACGAGACTATAATTTATGAACGAACGAAATGAGGTATAACAATAAAAAATCTTAGATTTTGGCATGAAAACTGTAAATCGAATCCCAAACCTTAACCATCAAATGTAAATCATAATTCTAATTCTACACATTGAATTATAGCCATCATTTGGTCCTAGTTATTAGGGGAACACTCTCTCAAAGTCACTTTAGCATTACTCCAACGTTGTCCATCAATCATAGTCTCATGATCAAACAATTAAAACTTTCATTCCTTTTTTATATTTGAATAATTTTCTTCGTGTATTTCTTTTTGTTATTATTATCAAAATGTAGAAAAAAATGTATACCATGTATGGAATGGTAGATCTACACAATACAACAATACAATCAATCAATATTGTAAAGAAGAAAATACGAGAGAGAAAAAAAGGGAAAAGAAAAGTGAAAAATAAACTATCAATTTATATCAATTAAATTTTGAGCTAAATTGTACCAATTAATACAAAACCAATTAGAATCAATGTAAAAAAAAATCACTATGAATCTGTAAATTACTTTCCTGAGAATAAGTTTCTATGAAAGATAAAATATATTAACTTTTCTTTTCAATATTCATTGTTATCTATTTTGATAGATATGATCAAATGCAATAGATTGAGATCGTTTTATAGATTTACAAGTGTTATCAATATGATTTAATGATAATGATGGTAATGAAATACCATGAGATGATATTATTCTATTTGTCAATAAATCATCAGAAAATTGATGATTTATACAATGATTTGTATTCATATTCAATGTATTATTTGTCATAGTAACAGAAGGATTCATTTTTTTATTGTATCCATCATTAGAATTAGATTTATTAAATGTTTCATATTGTGTTAAATATAAATATAAATGATAATCTATTTGTGTTTTTTCATTCAATGGAATATCAATTAATGAATATGTATCAGATTTCATAGAATTTATTAAATGATGAGGATGATGATGAGGAGGATGATGATTTTGTTCACGTTTATGTATATTTCCTTTATGTAAACGATGTACACAATTTTGTAAACGTTCTATAGTACTAATTCTTCGGATATTAGGCAATGAAGTAGTCTGTATATTTAAATGATTTGATTGTTCTATACATTCTATATCATTGTCATATTTTTCGACTTTATTTATATGATTATTAATCTATTCGAAGTGAAAACACAATAGAGAAATACAAATAAATTAAATTTAATAAGTTTGAGTAATTCCTATGTAGATCGATGGTCACATGAGTAGTAGGTACACAGAAAAGCTCTGTAAATATATATATATATACCTGGTTTCCATTCACCATGTATCGATTTGACAAACATAATTACAAATAAGTCACACGCATTATAAGCAAAGACGGATGTTGGTTTAGCAGTGGAATCCAAAACGCGCGTTTTCACCTATCTTAGGACTTGTCTACCAAGTGTACCAGTATTCGAGTTGATGTTCACTACGGGACTCGAACCCAGTATCGTTCGCTAAACACGCCATCGTATTATTCTGGAATGAACATCAACTTTGGAATGTAAGTGCATCTGATTGACGAGTCACAAAGTAAGACGAAACGTACGTCCTGGATTCCACTGCTAGCCACTATCCATCTTTGCTTATAATGCTTGTGACTTAAGGCAATATCGAGGCAATCTGCACAGTATGCACATATTCCAATAAGAGACTGATCAATTGCAGTCCTAAACATCAATGGGAAGATTCAAACAAATAATACAAACTAATTACAAAGAAACTCGAATCCAACTTACTTATTGATACAAAAATGTAAGAAACACATTGTTTTATGAAGGAAGACTTAAAGAATAATTTAGTGAAGAAACTCTTCGTTTTGATGCTGTTGTTTACTTGAGCTGTACAATCACATTTATAGTTAATTAAAAAGAAAACAACAACAACATAGTAGTCTATGATAAAATCGAAGTCTATTGAGTCATTCAAAACGGTTATCATGATTAAAATATTATAGTATCATAAGTTGTTTAAAATGTCAAATGGAAGTTATGTAAAGAATATGTTTGGATAAAAGTTTATAGACGAGAATGATAGTTGTCCACTGTTACGTCCTTGATCTGTCTACTCACTTTTGGTGCTGAAGATAACTTGTCTAATCTAAATTAAAACCTTGACGCGATAGGCTAACCGGCTTAACGTTGAAGCTAGTATGCATGAGTTCGAAGTGGGGTAGAGAGAAAAAACTATTCGATCACCTGATTGACTGACAAGCACGCAACTGAGAGAAGACAAATCAACTGGAACACTACTCGATTCATTCTCAATTCTGATCTGGTTCCCGATTTCGGATTATTGTAAAAAGGTACATAAATAAATAGATGACTAACCCGACCACAACGTACAATAATTAGGAAAATACAATTATGTCCAAAGCTGGGAATTAGATTAGAAAATAGAGTACAAAATATTATGTTTAGATTACAATAGCTTTGGGACAGAAAAGGGCTACAGCAGTGAATCATACATCGAACGAAAACTTATGATATGTAGAATAGACTTGGGACAAAAATAAATGTTACTGTATTACAACCTTTGAATTAAACGAAACAACGTCCCGAAAAATAGCTTCCGTAATTTGTCAAAGCTTCTTGTTTCTCTGTCCACATCATCCACTAAATGAATATGACGGACAGAATGATCATAAAGGTTGTAATAGCAATTAACTAATAGTTGTTAAAAAAAAGTTTTGGAAAGAAGTAAAAGGAAAACTATCGATTATTCAGAATAAAAGATAGACATTGTATTCGTGTATTGATGATATAATTTACAACGGTTGTTTTGATTAGCTCAGATTTCTTGTTGAACATAGACATAGGATCTTTTATTTGACAAATTAAGCTTTTAAATTGGATTTTGGTTATTTTTGCAATACCACTCTTATTCTGGATAATTTTAAACTGAGTAACATCTATTTGATTTACAGACTACTATATTTCATATGTAAATCTTTTGACCACTTTTTATAACTCTATTATAAGTATAAGGTTGTGGATATTGCTGAGATTCATAGAAATTATGAACTAATCAATTTTAAACTAACAGTGAAAACCTGGAAGCACTAGACATCCATTTCATCTTAGTATGGAACTTCTCAGAAGTGTGCAAGAAACCGAAAATCGTGAGTTTGATCCTCGTGAGCAGAGTCGTGGATACCCACATCTGGAAAGTCCCATACTTGTAAGAAATGCCCGTCTAGTGCTTTCAGGTTTTCACTATTGATCCAACATTGATCGGTTCAGAAATTCAATGAAAACCATCTCTATATTTAATTATAGATTGCTATTTTTTTTCAGAAAAATTAGCTAAATATACGATTGTACAGCAAAAGTAAATAACATTGCCGAAGAGAAAATTTCCTTTGTTGAACTGTCTTTCATTTTTTTCCAACAGTATACTTTTGACTTGGCTTACATGTTTCACGTGATCAAATAATTGAAAAAATGGTACCATGAATACTACTATAATAAAATGTGAAACGATTAATGATACAAAATTTCGCTTGTCATTCAAATCTTGACTATGTTAAGACTTAATTATGAAACACAATTAAGAGAAAATTATGAATTGGATTTTTGCATGCTTTATGTTATTATCCATACCACAAACAATTGTCAAGCAAATATTCCAATTAAATTTCCTAATAGTATGATCAAACGGAAAAGAACACATTGCATCGAGAATTAGAAGTAGACATGAAAAGGATGAATAGCAGCTGGAGACAATTGGAAAGGATTGCACAGGATAGAGTTGGATGTAGAAAGCTAGTGGGCAGTCTATGCTCCTTCATGAGGGGTAACAGGAGTAAGTAAGTAAGTAAGTAAATAAATAGTGATAAAACTGTTTCTGAAGAAACGATCTAGCTCAATACCAAAACGTTTGTAATGAAACACAGATAAAATAGGTGATAGGATATCAGTACGATAATCTGTTTGTAAATAATTTTGAATTAAATTTTCTTCCAACTTGAATTATTACTTATATGTAAGCTAAACAATGTTGAATAATGATATGAATTGATAGTTGAATATATGAAATTTTACCTGTTGATGTGGTTTCAACCATTCAACTGGTAGTGTACGTTCAATTAATGGAAGTTTGGAACCAATTGTAGCCAATCGATTTATCCATTTAGGCAAAGATCGACCACAAAGTAACTGAAGAAAGCAAATATCAAGGTATTTATTCAGTATATAAAAAAACTTATTAATCCAGATAGGTTTAATAATATTATTCATACGTTTCATAATTTCATTTAATTAGTACGATTCTATTGTTTAAATCGACATCCTAACTTCCTTTTGTAAATACATATGCTACACTGATTATTGTTCAATATAATACATGTGATACTCATCGCACTCGGAGTTCTCTGTCTCACAATGGTCATTAATAAACCAGATTCTGACAAAACTGTTCATACGTATTTATTATTAGCAGTATTATTGGCTTTATTCAATGTTATATTTTTGGTACAACATGGAATACCGAGCACGAAGTATTTCAAAAAGTTACTTTTACAAAAAAAAGCAAACAAACTGAGCTCATTTGCACCATTGGTTTGGAATCAAGGTTTTCCAACTTCTCTAGTTGGACCCTTTGTGTCCACCAACCCGGTTATATGCAGATTATATGCAGTCTGAAGTCACGTAGATGTTGTTAACATAAACATAACTGATGTGTTTTAGACATCTTAAAGTTGAACAACTGACAAATTCGTTTGTAAACTTAAGACATGCAAAATCAAATCGACACCAGTTCACATTTACAAATGTAGCTACACCGCCACTACACTTTTTTATTGCTTGATCGATCATGATGATAAAAATTGAAACCTTATAGTGATACTAAACAATCATCTTGTAAGTCATCTAACCAGGATTCTTGGGTTGTGATTATCCCACAATTACGATATATGTTTAGACTTAGCAAGAAGTGAAGATAGTTCGCCTTGCTAATTAGTGATCGGCAGTTAGAAGTTAGCATTTATGAAATCGACATATGATTAATGTACATTCTTTTCAATGCATATTATCAACCACCACGATATCGCTGATTGTATATTTTTGTACCTTGTACAGTGATAAGTCGCAAACTTTTCATATACGCACTTGGATGGGTTATGCGATTAATAGACGTAGTGATGCGTTAAAACAAACGAAAATGTAGCCTGTTGAAATATCTAGATGGTAGGCACAGGAAGCTTTGATATTCAAACAACCCACATTCGTTAGTAGTAGCCGCTCTCAATATTTCTCTGGCCTACTCTTCATTGTAATATCTGTATATTTATATCAACTTACTCCCTTACTTACGCCTGTTACCCCATCTGGAGGAGCATAGGCCATCCACCAACACTCTCCATCCAACCCTGTCCTGGGCAATCTTTTTCAGTTGCTATTCATCCGTCTCATGTCTGCTTTCGATTCCCGATGTAGCGTGTTCTTCGACCTTCCTCTTTCTGTTTCCCTTCAGCATTTCAAGTTAGGACTTGAATCATGATGCGGTTTAATGATTTCTGTAATGTATGTCCTATCCACTTCCAACGTCTTCTCTAATTTCCTCTTCATCTGGAAGCCGCTTTGTTCTATCCCATAGTAGGTTGTTGCTGATAATACACGACCAACGGACATCCAGTATCTTGCGTAGACAACTGTTTATAAATACTTGTACATTTTTTATGGTTGTAGTGGTTCTCTACGTTTCAGCTTCGTACAGTAGGACTGCCTTGACGTTTATATCGAAGATTTTGACTTTGATATTGGTTGACAGTTGTCTTGAGTTCTATATGTTCTTCAATTGTAGGAATGCGGCCCTTGCTTTGTCAACCCTTGCCTTTACGTCTGCATCGGGTCCTCCTTGTTCATCGATGATGATGCACAGGTACGTGAAAGATTCCACCTGTTCCAGAGCTTCTCCATCAAGCGTGATTTGGTTGGTGTTCTCTATGTTGTATTTCAGGATCTTGCTTTTTCCCTCCTGTATGTTTAGGCCTATCGATGCAGAGACTGCTGCTACACTTGTCTCCATCTGCATTTGTTGGTGTGTATTGGATAATAGAGATAGGTCATCTATAAAGTTCAAATCGTCTAGCTGCATCCACGCTGTCCATTGTATTCTGTGCTTTCCCTCAGATGTGGAGGTCTTCATAATCCAGTCAACCACCAGAAGAAAGAGAAAGGGGAGTAAGCAGACTTATCTGACACCACTCCTCATTTGGAATGCATGTCTTCTGTCCTCCATTCACGACTTCGCAGTGTAGTCTGTCGTATGAATTCCGTATGATGTAGACAATCGTCTCAAGTACATCATAGTGTTGAAGAAGGTTCCATAAGGTCCTTCTTTCAACTGTGTTAGGAATAATAATTGACCCACACATAAAATTGTCAAATTATCTTGAATTCACTCGCATAAGAGGACGTTTATTACTTGTGAGCAACCAACTTTGTAATAGTCCTTTATTTCATTTCTACATTGTTTATTGACTGTTAATATTCATTTACATAAATGCTTCTCATAAGTTTTGTAATAAATTCAAAGACTTGTACTTTTGACCCACCACTGATTGAATGTAGAAATATTCGACAACCAGATTATATTCTTTATATATAAATTCAATACATTCACACAAGCTGATCACTGATGAACTTAATTATATGTATTTGAAAACCAGTGCAATGTAAGGCGGTATATACTGAGCCAAAAAATACTCCAAAGCAATCATACGTTCTAGGTATCCTAAAATAAGCAAAATATTTCTCCATTTGATATTATATTACTAAACAGAATTCTTCGAATAGTCACTGTTATACTGGTTTGTTGATGATGAATTAAATATCCTCGAAGTTTACACATATAATCCATGATATTAGAAAACAAGAAGTAGAAAATGTTTTCTTAACAAAATAAATCTATAACATAGAAATATAATGTAAAACCAACCTGAACAAATGTATCAGAGAAATGATTACAGTTTTTATTCAATAAATGATATTGATCACCACGATAATCTGTTGTTATACTCTCTAGTAATAAAGGAACGTCGGAAGCTGTAAAATCTGTATATCCCATGGACAATGTGACTCTAAGAAAGATATAACATGAAAGTTAACAATGATTTTCGATAATAATTTCATTTAGTGTATCTTTATACATTAATTCTAACAGCGAAACAGTTGTAACTAGGAAAATTTGGCTCCCTCGGCACAATTATAACTGGCTAGCCAACTGTTGTATATAGAAAGTCGTAGCTGTTATGTACGTATCGATTCTGTTGAGTCTTTAGACTTACTGCTTATATTGGGAAACGGGAACCCCTACAATTCCTATGGCGCAAAGTAAAAACACGAAAGACTGGTGCAATGAGATTTTATTGACTCTCCAAAAACACGTCTCTACACAATTCCCAAAATTACATCATCTTTAGACCATAATTCAATCATTTACATACTGAATTTCATACACGATAATATCACATTGGAGGGAAGTATACAGAGTTACAGTAGAAAAAATAAATATAGTTCAGCTGAATCAATACAGGGAACGAGAGTTCAAACTTTTCATATAGAAAAAAGTTTATACCAAATTGATACAAGAAAATATGGACTTTAAGACGTCAGTGAACAAAGTTTACACCTATCACCATGGCCGAAATTTATAATGAATTTATGCAGAAAATATTAACATAAATAATTTTATCTTATCTCGTCATATCAGAAACATTACTAGACATGATAAAACTAACATAGTAAAACTCAATCTGAATTCGAACCTGTTATAAATTCTTTTATTAAGACCCAGCTATTTTTAATGCTTAGTCATCTTGGACATTACTTCACTAGACAAGTCACCGTATCAGAAAACGGTTGAACAGGAACGTAATTATCCTCCGAATAAAAAAATTTGGGCGGAAGTGGCAATCACAATAAGAAAAACGTTAGTATATTTATCATCGTTACATAAGAGGATTCTAAAGTCTTTTCCAAGCACCCGTTAGTGCTGATTGATTAAAAATAGCTAATCGGCGTGCCCTAACACAATTCTGCACGGAATATGTTTGAATCCAATCTATATCTCGCTAACAGAACCCATTCCCAAATACTTTTATATAAACAACGGGAAGATTAGTTTTTATAAAAAGTGTGACCAAAAGCTGAGTGAAGAAATCTATACTTGTGAAATGAGTAATATTAAGTGGAATTCAACACATGGACAACAATTAATTTTCTGGAGTAATTTACAACACCCTCAAGGCAGCGTTATATCAATCCAGACATATGTAGAGATATTTGCAGGATAAACTTAATTTGGTGCTCTTAAATAGTTTCAATGACTCTCCAGAAGAAAATACGCAAATGAGATTAGTGGCAATATTTGAAAATACGTTTTACTATTACTAAGGAAAAAATATCTATTTACGTCTAAAACCTTATCAAATTGATTTCTTTGAAAAACATAGCTGGTCATCAGTTCTAAGCAACGTAGAACCTGATATGTGCGCATCCGTTCAAGTTACCACATCGCCTACTCCTATTTCTATACAAAACAACTTCGCTCGCCAAGGTAGGCGGTGGTAAGGCATGCGTAACATATACTGCAAACACTCCAACTAACAATTCACTACCTCATGAATCGACATGCCAAACAACACTTTCTCCACACCAGACTTTTCTTCCAGAAAATAGGCAACAAATATATGTCAGATAAATAAATTATGTGTAGACTTGGACAAATCTAAAAACATAAGATAATATGGAGAAAGTTTCTTCACGAAATGACAGCCACAGAATTATAGAAATCCGGAGAGCATTAGACACGTAATCCGTATAACGGGTGAGTTGTATCACAACGGGTATGTCGAGGCAGTTTATTATTTAGTTGAACACATAAATATTGGTACAAAGGGGCACCGAATGCAAGTGTACCACACAAGTCACTTGCTTTGTGTGTGGGTTGTGATACTGAGCAGGTGCCAAACCGAACCAGGTGGTTTCCTTAAAAGGCCACATCCGTACCCTTTGACCTAAGGGTCTAATCCACAAGTCAGTGGAGCAACTTCGGGAGATGCAGTCCCATGGTAGCCGGTTACCAGTATTTAGTTCATACGCCACTTGTTCCCTCAGGATCCTGGAGCCCACGTGCACCATTGGTTTGGAACCAGGGTTTCCCAACTGCCCTAAGTGAATCCTCCATAATGGTACTCATTCACCAGGTATTTATGTACAAACCATATTTTAAGTGTGAGAGCTAATGATACTACCTAAATATCCAAGAGAAAGTAGACGGAGCGGGGTTCGAACATGAGACCTGATAGATAAAGATACAACGCCCTAACCACTAACCCACCGGTTTCACTTTTCTTGCATACTTCTATCTCTAGTGTTATCTTTAGGCACTATAAGATGTGTCAACCCGTATTGAAAGACTTGTATCATAGTGTAGTGAACGAGAACAACGAAATGGATCTTAATACATTACAGAATGTCTTGGTAAAATCTGAGAACCGTACAGTAAATACTTCATTTCCAAAATATACATCAATTGTCTCAGACCTTGTTGTTTTTTCGTTCTTATACCAATTAATCTCTCTTCTCTTCGATTTCCTCAACGTTCTGCCGTCAGAAATTCCACCTTCGATTGGTGATACATGCTACTTATTTCTGTCGACATCAATAGCATATACCACAATAGTATGTAAATACTGAGTTTCATAAACCACGAATAGTAAGGGTTTAAGTTATCCCGTTGTTGATATTTATGATTGGACTTTGATCGGTGTTTGTTGGGATACGTGCATTACATGCAAAGTGCCTCGATATAGCCGTCATTTCAAAATTGAGAACAAATCGATAACGTAATAAATGTTTGAAGACAAATGTACAGGATTCAATATAAACTGGACCAAACAATAAAAATGATTTTCTAAAGAAATAAATGAATGTGCAAGAAGGACAGGTAGTAATTATTAGTTACAAAGGTTCATTCATGAAGTGTTGTTAAAACTGAGATTTGAATCTAAGCAATGTCCTTTCGAAAATGGATATACTTTGAACGTATGCTTTGATGTTGTATAACAGTGAAATTCAGGAGGCGCAATTAGTTGTGTCTGAGACTTATAAATTGCACTTACCAGTAATTAATCTGGTGTTAATCTCCACATTGAGACTTGAAACTAGTATCTACTACCTTAAATATCAGTTATTCACTGGAACAGTGAACACCCAATAACTTGGTTAAAGGATATGATATTTAACATTAATTGTACAGATTTGTATTTTTCTCTTGTTGATATTCGGGACTGAATTTGATCATTTTCTAATTGGTAAATGGACTTTGAAAAACTTTACAATAAATAATTAATATCATGCTTGTTAAACGAATCAGCAGTCTAGTGAATAACACTTCGGTAAGCTTTGAGCGGTAGGACGTCATTTCCAGCTTTAACATGAATATTGTTGAGTGCCACCCTCAAGTCTCTTCAGAGGCTCAGGAAAATTTAAGAATACTTCATCCACTTAAGATTCAACGGGAACTTCCCAAATAGTTCTGGAGAAGAGGTAATTTACGTACCACATTGTAGATGAATAATTAATTTTGTTACTAAATTTATGCTAGTTTCCAAAAAAATCCTAGAATATCAAGTTCACGAATAAACCTATAAATATTTTCGTAAAACTTTCTAGGTTACCAGCTTTTTGTCTCCTGTTAAGGATTCAAGTGTAAGAGATTTCTGAGGTACTAAACAGTGATTAGAAATCAGGGTTAAGGATTCAAGTACCAAACTTAACAAATATCAACACAAGGACCAAACACGCGTTACAGATTTCAATGATTGTCATCATAAAATATATGAACAAGGGTGCCATGTATTCATAACTTGATTTAAACAAAATTCAGTCTTAGCGTAAATATTCTTCTATGATGATTAATTAGATCGCCTGGATACTAATGAAGACGGATTAGATGTACAGAGTGTTCCTTGATTTTCAAATGGTTGTCTTCCTAGATGATAACTTTACATGAATATGATTAATTTTCAAATAATCACTTTCTGTAATGGTGGAGAAGATTTATAACTCAAGTGGATGATTTTGAACAAAACTCCACCAAAATCATTGTCATAGACACTATGAGTACAAAATGCAAAGTGAATATGATCATATGTAAATACTGAAACAAATATTCTGAATAAATCGACATTTAGAGACAAAGAGAAATAATACTAACTTGTACGAATAATTTTCGCCTAAATAAGCAGAATCTCTTGGTAACATAGAGAATACTCCAGAGTTGGTTAATGGATGTCCACCATATGAATATTCTATGACGACAAAATAATAATAAAGTACATTTAGCGAGTGTAATTCTAACCAATAATACTACTGAAATTAACATAATCCAACACAACATAATTATATATACAATTATTCAGTACCAGATACCTTTTATAAATATACAATATAGACAGGAAAAATTGACATTATATTTCAGATATATGTGAAGTTTCAAAGGAACCGAACTGTCTAGTGAATCTGACACAATTGTAACAATAGTAGCACTCAGATTATCACTTATATGCTCTGATGCCCAACCAATAAATACACCAAAAGTATAAAAAATAGGTTGAAGATTGAATGCTTGCAGTACGATGATCTATAAAAGCTAACAATATAAATATAGAAGGATCGAACAAAATCTAAGGTAACAACAACACTTTAACTATTACAGAACAAGGAATATTGGCTTTCGACGAAATCTTTGAATGTTTTAAGAAAACAAAGCAAGTACTAGTCTACATTTCAGTGTGTATACAGCCGTCAGATAAACTGACATATCAAAAATTTCTATTCACTAACTGGGGAAATACGGGGATAATTTGAAAAGAATACATTTCAATGTCTGTGGAGGAGGAATTTTGGTGAGAAAAATAAGAAAGATCGACTTCTGATTTTAGAAAAAAGTATGACTTATAATAATTGCCAACATAACTAATTTGCAATTTCGCACCCAAAAAATTTCATTTACAAAACAGTGGCTCTCTAAACACGAATTCTTCATTAAATTTAAACAAACTACAGCTGAATGGGTGATAAACAATTATAATACATTATAACCTCGAAGTAGAACGAACTACTGTAAATAGGCGTTTCACATGACAGGAAAAACAGGTTTATTTTTCCCTGGTTATGATAATGAAATGATAATTTGGTTAGATTATCTGACATATTAGCACGATGATATGAGATTAACAAAATGAGTGGTGAAAGCAGTTTAAAAAGAGATAGATAGTGGATAGCAATGGAATCCAGGACACGCGATTCTTCACATTTTGACTGGTTTATTGAATGTACCTGCATCCCACAACTGATGTGCAATCCGGGACTCGAACCCTGTACCGTTCGCTTCAAAGCCATCATGTTATCCACTTAGCTACCAAGTCCAGATAGTCACTGGCTTCTGTAGTGGTGTGAATTTGAGGCGTACGTTACTGTGTTAGAGTCATGGGGTGAACATCAACTTTGGGGTGCAGGTACATTCAACTGGAGAGCCCCGAATAGGACGAAATGCGCGTCTTCGATTCCAGTAATAAGCACTATCCATATTGCTTAAAATACTTTTGACTTAATTGCTATATCGAGGAAATCCAAATATGTCAAAAGAGACTGAACGATTATATTCCTAAACATCAATAGGGGGATCCAGACAACCAATATATATATATATATATATATATATATATATATATATACAAATAGCAAAAGTGATAGAAAATAATGTCTCAGAAATGATATTGAGAAGGAATAAGCACTGGGAATCTGGTTTAAAAAGATATGGTTTATAGGTATGTATGACGGAACGCTGAGATTCCATATTGAGGAAATAAAGTGTGAATGCATCTACGTCATTGTCTGAGCCATGTCGTCCAAAATCTTCAGCGATTGATTACAATTATCACGCGAACCCCAACCAGGTGATCGGCATGCACCTACATAGCTCAGGACAACAGTCAGTGACTTCATATTTTAGTTTAGCCACCTCTAACTTTCATTCAACTTACCTCTACACCAACAAATGTCACTCGTCGAAGTAGACAGCGGTTATGCATGGATAACACATGTCCTAACCACTTGTACCAATGAATATGTACAAGCTTATCAAGCGATTTGACATCTCACACACAAAATACTCCATTCCTAACCTCAATGTTGTTCACTAAGTCGAGGTTAAGTACAAGGTACTAGGAAAAGATGTCAAACCAGTCGACTAAGTTATAAATGTTCATAAAACTAGGTGGTTAAGACATGTGTTAAGTATGTGTAACCACCTGTTGCTATGCAAGCACTGAGTCAGAAATTCAGGAACTAAGTCCTCTTTCGCATGGAATGCTTTATTTTACGATTTTAAAGGTTTAGAAAGGGTTAAATTTTAAAATCACATAGATGAAAGAACATGTTTCCATAACGAGGATAATGGCATTCAGGAAAAAAATATAAAAGTGTTTAAATGAGATATACTGACTATGTTGAATTTTACAATGGAAAAGCATTGAAATTTCACAGGTCATTTAAATTCAGATTTAGTATTTTTAGATCATTTCTCTCACAAATATAAATGTCTTTAATTATCGGTTGTATGACTAAGAAATGTGGTAATTTCAGTGGTTTTATTTTGTTTTTTGATCACATCCTCAGTTGTATTTACTAGTTTATTTCAGTTTATATAATCCTACAAATATGAACTAAATAAACATTACAAATTATAAGTGAATGGAAAACAAAGATGTTAACACTTACCAATTCCATGAACTACAACTCCTGTATGATAAACTCCAATACCAAGAGAACTGACGTAATCATTTATCCACAACTATAAATTCATTATGATTATAAAGCATTTATTAAACAATAAATCAATATCCATTAGGGAAGAAGAACAAAAAGTTATGTAACAGTCTAGAATTGGTTATGTAACCTAATCACAAAACAATCAGTAAAAAAAAACTTAAGAAACGATTGAAGATAAGACCTTGATATAAGTGATAATGATAACCCGAAAATAGAATAGGGTTTATTTCACTGAAGGATAACATGCTTACAGTATATACTGAAGAGCATAAAACTTATAGTCCTTACAAATCATCCTGGAGATATGCTGAATATGTCGAGTAAATGACTCATTATAAACTATACAAAGTCCAGATTCGACTATGAAAAATATATATGTAACTCAATTAAGCAGTATGACTGAGACAAGAAAACAAATTTTAAGAATAAATAACATAACAATTTAATGTCTATCAAAAAATAATTGGAACGAATCAAGATATTTAGTATCAATTTATTATAGAAAGGAGGGTTTTATCGAGATTGTAGTAATTTCAATAGTTGAATTCATGAGTTAATTAAAGCTAAACCAACATGGAGAACTTGGAAGCACTGGATGATCGTTTCGTTCTAGTATGGGACTTTTCAGCAGTGCACATCTACGATTCTAGGTTTTCAGTGATGGTCTAGCTTCAATTGACTCATGAATTTAATTATTAAATTACTAAAATCTCTACAATATACCCTCTTCTGATAATAATCATCATCTGATCACTAGTGACTGGATTCAAAAGGTATTTCTCGGAGTTCTCAGTCAGTCAGCTACAACGTAGGACCAGACACATATGTGCATCGGTTCAAGTTGCCATAACCTTATTAGCACAACAAGATGAACACCGGATTCATGGAAGTAGTTAATTCAACAGTGGTAATATATAAAAGAAAGATTGCATATAAGGAAGAAAGTAGCTGGTAGTAAGAAAAATATGAAGCGATTTTAATCTCATATTTTAAAGGAACACAAAGAGTGTATACACCTACACCATTGTGATCAATTCTGAGCCATGTCAATCAGAGTCTCCAACCAGTGGTAACGATAGTCTGCATCTACCAACATGGCTCAGACCAGAAGTTAGTGACTTCAAGCACTGATGTCACGTTTTGATTTAGCCGCCCCTAGCTTTCTTCCAACCACTCCCAACACTGATCAGCATTGCGCGTCGTGGTAATCGGTATTCAGGCATACGTAACACGTGACCCAACCATTTCAGTCTATGAAGATTCACAACCTCATCACCTGATTTACCATCATTCCCTAATAACCTGCGTCTAACCTCACTATTACTTACCCGATGATCCCGGCAAATGCGAGCAATATTTCTAAAGCATCTGTGGTCAAATACTAGTAATTTTCGAATATCTTCTACTTTTAATAGCCACGTTTCGCAGCCGTAAAGTAGAACAGAACGAACTGCCGCACAGTATACTCATCCTTTTATTCATAGACGGATATCTCACCTTCGCCATAGGTGACGTAAGTTGGCAAAAGCCAAGCGAGCTTTTCGAATCCGTGCTGAGATTTCTTCAGACACCAACTTATTAGGGCTGACCAGACTTCCAAGATAAGTGAAGTTGTCAACGCGTCCCGGAATCCTAGTAAGTCATGACCAGTTGAGTTCAATAAGGTCTGTAGTGAGACAGTAACTAACTGAAGACAATGATGGAAGGTGGCGCGATCTTGCGGATTGATTGAAGCTGAACATTAACACCGTTGGATGCCTTCTCAGTGGTCTAGAGGTTAAGCGTTCACAAGAGAGACCGGTAGGTCCTGGGTTCGAATCCCGCGGACAGGATCGTGAATGCGCACTGCTGAAGAGTCCCACACTAGGACAAAACGGTCGTCCAGTGCTTCCATGTTGGTCTGACTTTAACTGAATCATAAATTCAACCAATTTATTTATTGAAACTTTAAATTTCAAGACAAATGATTCAATTTATTTACTGAATATGAAATAACATACATGATCAAAATAAAATTGATCATCATTGTTCAATTAGTAAACTTAAATGATCAACCCACGGTAGATAAATCGAATTATATCAAGGTTTAAAATGTCACAAAACATATAAAAAGATAAACAATAAAGAAATTAGATCAATTAAGTTTGATTATAAAAGTAAATAGGATGAAACAATAGTCTACTACAAAGTTATTTTAGTTGTGTTTACTTCATTACTTCTAACGTAAACTAGAAAAGAATAGGCATTATACACCCTTAATTTCTCGCAAGTTGACGATCGATTCGATATAAGTGACATGATATAGTGAATTTTTCATTTTAAAAAAAATCGAGAAACACATTGAACAGATGCTTCTTTTAAGTTAAAGAATCTTCAATAGTAAAGATCTACCGAAGTAAACTCAGAATTTATGAAGTAAGTATAATATTATCTAATGTTAGGTTAATGAATTGAGATTCGATAGTTTATTTTAAATGAGGAATTGTGCTAATATTATAAATTAACTGATGTAGGAAAACAAAACATATAATATCAGGTTCAATGAAACATGATGACCCAAGAGTAGGTGGAGTATGCATTATGAAAAGGCTCTAACCTAAGATAAAACAATCATTCAACTGATAGGTCCTGGATTCGAATCCCGCGGACAGGATCGTGGATGCGCACTGCTGAGGATTCCCACAATAGGACGAAACGGTCATTCAGTGCTTCCAGGTTTTCCATGGCGGTCTAGCTTCAATTAACTCATGATCTCAACTATTGGAATTATTACAATCTCCACAAAACCCCATCGGATACTTATCATTTAAATGCTTGATTCTTGTTTTTTTTTTAATTACTCCTCTTCAAGTGGTGCTAGTTGATAATCAAAACTAATTGAAAACTATTTATAATTATTGAAAAAACCCTCACTTAACCTGAATAGATTGATTTTAATTTGCTTCAATAATCTAAATAATATAAACTAACTGTCATAAATTTCATATACAAGTGGGGTTGTTTTGTTCATTATACGGAAATAGAAGTGTACAAGCTATCTTTCCCAAAGATTATCTATAAAAATTGATGACTAGGCTAAGATATACAGAAGGAAACAAACGGAAGCATGAGGGTCATATATATATAAAGAAACAGTCACAATATTTTGCTTAATTTCAAGAAAACACTGATATCATCATTAAGATGATGAACAGTGTGACCTCCACATTTAATGATTGAAAGTTACACGAATATTACTATGTAAATAAACCTACAGTTATCATTGTTTTTATTATTATTATTATTATTATTATTATTATTATTATTATTATCATTATTGCCTGACCCATGGTAGAAGAATTAAACGATACAAAATATGAATCATTTAATTTACACCGTTACTATTGTCACAGAGTTGAAAGGGTATGGTAAGAAAAGCCAAAAGCAGTTACTTTGTTTTTAAAAACCAATTAAAATACAAATACTGGGTTGTAGGTTGACTCGGTATTATTTAACTGAATCTTTCCATCAATATTTAGGACTGCGATTGATCAGTATCTTATTGGAATATGTGCATCCTGTGCGGATTGCTTTAATTCACAAGTACTATAAGCAAAGATGGACAGTGGCTAGCAGTGGAATCCAGGACGCGCGTCTCGTCTTATTTGGAATTCGTCAGCTGGATGTACCTGCATGGGAAAATTCAATTACACAATACCAAGTAAATTTCAACTTCACCCCATTACCCAAGCAGGAGGCTATCAGGACTCAGTAGCTAAGTGGATAACGCGATGGCATTTGAAGCGAACGGCACTGGGTTTGAGTTCCGGAGTGAACGTCAGCTCTGGGATGCAGGTACATCCAGCTAACGAGTTCCAAATAGGACGAGACGCGCGTCCTGGATTCCGCTACTAGCCATTATGCATCTTTGCTTACTGGATTGTGGTCCCTAACTCCGTTCCATCTAATTCAGCTTGAACAGCCAAATAATACAATCGAGCCTATAAACGCGGTGTTACTTTAAGCCTGGTACATCAGAAACTGTACTTAATTATTTCAAGTTACTTAATAAAAGAAACTAGAAAATTCACGTGATAGTAACTATAATATGAGACAACTTTACGTGTTACGTGCTTAAAAATGCCATATTGTAGAAACTTTCGTTATTTATTAAATTCAGACTAAAATCATTCTACTATACTATTCAAGTAATAACTGAACCAAACATTCAATATAGAATGATGTATATAATCAATGACAAAAACCCGTCCCTACACTAGGTGTATACAAATTACGGACCTATCAATGTCCAACTAGATCTGCGAATCAAATAAGATGACTTCTAGTTGATAGTCTGACTAGTATTGAAATGTCTTGACCTTGTCCGAGTACAATAAACACAAACTCTGAGGTTGCAGCTTGATCCTAAACAACAAGACAAAACGATAGTCGTCAACCAAAAGCATAGCTTCTGTTACACAGTTAAGTGGTTTTTGTCTACATACGTAACACCACTCATATTTTCAGATTAAGATATACACTTGCTGTAAGCGAATATGATTTTTCTGACAAGCGAAAAATGGGATTGAATGATAGTATTTGATACACATTACATGTTGGCATTTTAATGAACTAAAGAGGTCATATATAAAATGTTCAGACTACTTGATTGACTGATTTAAATCTTCTCTAACATACCATTGATGAAACCACATCTAGTGTATTAAAGCAGTTTGTCACAGTTTCGAATTATTTTTAACAAGGCTGTATGAAGCTAATGACAGATATGCACAACATCTTACGGGTAGATTAGGTTGTTTCAGTGTAGATATAGACATCCTGGTTACAATGCTAAAATTAATCGTAATATGTGGACACATTGAGCACAGAATGTTTCTTATCTTTCTCTTAATTTTAAGCTTAGTATTATCCACTTTTTATAATATTTAGCTTCCCACTATAATTAATATGATTCCAGCTTACTTGTTTCCGATCATGTTAAGTTGATCGATTTGCTGAATTAGATGTGCAAACTTTAAACAGATAGACTAGTGTTAGGTCCTACATTATCAATACTAAACTGATAGACATCTGACTACCAAAGTAAATCAGTAGTATTGTCAAGGCTTGTTATATATACTCACAATATGATTAGTGTTGGTAATTTAAGAAAATAAACCAATATGATCAACCTTTGATTTTTATTATCATTATTTTAATATCGAAAGTAACACGTTAGGTAACTTCAGGTACATTTATGTACAGTTAAGAGTTGTGTAATATACAATATCAAAGTGAAATAATCTGTTATTAACGATATCAATACATGTTATTTTATATATACTCGAAAATATGTACAGATGTAATCCAATGAATAGACGCACTATGAGGATGTGTTCAAGAGCAAGCATTACATACATCATGTATTCCGTGTTGAATGGGTTTGATGTAGTAAAGTTTAAAAACACAGTAGAATTAGACAATAAAAGCTTTGTAACCAAGGTACTTAACATGATCAAAATAATCAGTTTACTAGACAAAAGAATGATGCTGAGTTATTTATTTAGTGATCCTTAAAATTCAACTGATAGTTTGTACCCATATTATTCGCATCAGTGATTTCCATCAAGCTAACTCTTTGAACAAGTTCCCGTATTTCCGTATATGACAATACAACATTTATGGATGACTTGTTAATATTTAATCTCCGACTCTAATTTTTCCATTATAAATGTCTTGATGCCAAGTTTTGCATCAACAACACACGTAGACAAATAGAAATAATTCAGTTTTGCATAATTATTTTCAGTCAAAAACTGTATGAGTTAAAAACTACAAGCTTGACTAAGATGAATTAATTTCCTATTTTTTTAAGTATTAACTGTAAACATTTTGTATATTACTGACTGATTCTATAGGCTTCAAAGGCTAATCATATTTCTTGTAAGACTAAATTAATTGGACATAACTGTTTGTTTAAAATTAAACAGGTCATTCCAACTAAATGTGTTTTAAATGAGACAATTAAACCGCTTACATTTAAGCGGATTCTGAAGTTAATTATACCAGGAAATTATCAAGACACACCCACTTAATTAACCTATGAGGAGATAAGCTAAGGGCGAGTTTGTGAGCATAAGATGAAGAGTTTATACATCAACTGAAAAAATAATCTTTAAAAATCGAATGCCCAATTAAAAATATGTGCAGAATATAACAGTGAATTCTCAAATGCACTCTTAAAAATAAAGAACAGAATAACTTGGATCTAGTACACAACTCTACTGTATATAATCAAAGAGGAATTTTGTGGATATTACAATAATTTAATAGTTGAATTCATGAGCTAATTGAAGCTAGACCACTATGGATCGTCAACGCGCACTGCTGAAGAGTTTCATACTAGGACAAAACGACCATCCACTGCTTCGAGGTTTTCCATAGTGGTTTAGCTTTAATTGACTCATGAATTCAACGATTAGATTTCTAAAATACTTGCGCTTGCATTTAGAAAAGTCACTAGTCTCAATTCCCTTGGGAATCTATATTGATTTTCAACTATTACATAAACTAATCCTTTTTACTAAATAATTGTGTTTGGAATAATTATCAATAAATTGGCATATTGATTTTATTTGGATTTCATTGATTAATTTTCAATGAATTTTCATTGATATTGATTTAATTAGTAATGAGATGTGTCATTTGATTCGAATATTTTTCTAATACACTGTAATTTCGCGTTCAATTAATGATTGCTTATTTAGATAAATTTCATAACTCATATTAATTAAGCACTAACAACCTACGAATATTAAGAACAGTAGATATTAGTGTACCCCCAAATGCCCTGGTACGGGCGAGAGTGAAGACAGTCCGCTCTCCCTCTCGAAATGCTCTCACATGGCCACGTGAATACAACCACTGCCAGGAAAGTTCTACTCACTGCCTTCTCGCGGCATTACTATTGTTTACGAAATTGAGAAGACGCTTTAACCGAGTTGATGGACACAAAGAGTCCACCCACGTTAGTTGGAAAACCCTGATTCTAAACCAGTGGTGCACATGAACTTCAATATATCGAGGGAACAAATTGTGTATGAACCAATCGTTGGTCATCGGTTACCATGGGACTGCATCTCCTTACGTTGCTCCATTGTCTTGTGGATCAGACCTTTAGGTCGAAGGCTCCGGATGTGGTCCCCTAATAAAGCCACCCGCTTTGGTTTGGGCACCCAGGCAGTATCATAGCCCTCACACAAATCAAATGAGATTTGGGTGGCGCATATGTGTCTGGCTCCCTCCTTGCCAGTATTGGTGTTCAAATAAATAAATAAGATCATAGATGATTCCAAAGCTAATGGGAAAGGTTAGAAATAATTTGGGATAGCCAAAAAGGGGTAGCATCATTTTGTGAAATTTTTGCCTGTTGGTCTGAGCCAGATAGATAAGTTCAAACGACTTATTTATTTAAACACATAAATATTGGTACAAGAGAGCGCCAATACATATGCGCCACACAAAACAATGAGAATTTGAAGAAAAAGAAAAAAAAGGTAAGGAGCGTAAAAAAAAGAGAATAACGAAGAGGTTGGTGTAAGGTAGTGTAGTAAGAATAATAGTAATAATGAGGGAACGGAAAGGTACAATCAGAAGAAATCTTTCAGTTAAGGAAGACACAACCACTTTTTATGAAGAAAGTAAGAGAAGCTTACAACAGGATCGCCACTGGCTTCTATTCTGAGCAATATCTGATAACGTCTCTAGCCACTGTGTAGCACCATCTCTAGGACCCCGCGATCAGGGAGTCGTGAAGGACCAACACAAGCCAGTCCTTTGCAGATTTCTTTCATACCACGACACCATGTCATACACTGACCATCTCTCCGCTTCTTCCAACCAGTCCCAGAGTCAGCAAATAATGCACGACGTGGAATTCTCTGGGACGACATTCGGAGAACATGTCCAAGCCACCGAAGTCGGTGTTTTAAGATGGTGACATCGATTGCATTATCATCTCTGTGCCCGAACACACGATGCCGAACCTCTGCATTACTAACATGGTGTTGCCACTGGATGTCAGCAATCCTTCGAAGACAACGATAATCGAACACAGAGAGTCGTCTAACATCCTCAACTCAACTAAAAGTTGCAGATGTTAGACGATGTGAATTACGATCATTTGTAGTGGCGCAGATAGATTCATTCTGCATTTTATCTTAGATCCTGTGTCCTGAAAATCCCCTTTAAGTTGTTGTTCTTTTTTGTACCTAATCTTTTCTAATGTTACTGAGAATTTCACTACTTTTACCATCCCAGAATGTGACCTGATAATTTCACTTCTCTGTGCTAATGTTATGTGGTAACTTGGATTAATAAACACGTACTATGTTCTACACTGCATAAGACTAACTGAATCATTGAATAATAGAAATATAATTGAATTAGGTTGAATGTAAATCGATTCTAGTCCTTATTAGAAAAAGCGTGTGGCATATATGTATTTTGTGCCCTTCTTTACCAATGTTTATATGCTCAAACAAATAAATATTAAAGAAAGCTCCTAGAAAAACCTGGACATTTTTACTCTAGTTAGCAGCAAGGAGACGATAGAAGCTACCTGGTCCATCGTACTGAAGTTGGAGTTGAAAATAGTTAGCTCGGTGCACAGACGTACTACAATGATTCCATAACTAACTTTTATTATGCGACAATCAACTTAATTTTAATGCATTTTGATTCTGAAACCGTATGTGTACTCTTAATGTGTCTGAAAACCAAGAGATGGTTCAAAATTTTAAAAGTACTTAACTTACGATTACTAAGCCGCAGATCTGAAACTGAATCGACATTTTCTGATCCGAGCAATCAACGAACCTTCATACAACAGTCTTTAAGAGTTAAATGTGCAAACCAGTATTTGGCTAACGAATGGCACTAAACTTTTTAAAAAAATTTTGTATAAAGTTACGTGCTTTTCTACTGATTTTCTGAATAGAGATACATCAACTGTATCTCATAAGATGTAAGAAACGTTTCTTTTGCTTTGACATGATATTAAACACTTGCAGCTAGAGAAATAAAACTGGAGACGGAAGCATACTTAGTTTTAAAATCGAAAGAAGCTTTATTTCTCTAGCAAGATGGTGGAACATCGACAAAACCTATTACTGTATACTATTTATCTTCGAAGAGATAACCTGCTTCTTAAACAAGGGTAGATGAACTTCAGAAACCAATGGTATAAGAGATCAAATACAGGCAGTGTTGATGATTTCTCGGTCAGTATGTGGTTTGATTAGTGTAGGTTTAAGTCAAAATGGCGATAAGAATACTTATCTTACGGTGATTTCAAAAAATTAACTAGGCAGCGGAATAGATTATGTAGCAGATTATATCGGACAAAACCCATAAAAAGAGGTCTGAGATCATTTAATCTAAAAAAAAAACTGGTCATAAATCAAAGATCCGAAATGGTTTCTCGAAATACATTAATTACAATTTTCGGATGTCTAAAATCTATTGATTATCATTTACTAAAATATGAGTATATTCACTTATTGAAGTAAAATGTTTGTATAAAAACTGTCTCCTTTCATGACTTCTGAAAACATAAATCTATCGTTTTCTTTACGACTAAATAAACATTACACATTTGTATCTGTCACACTTAAAATAATACTATGACTTTGTCAGTTGACTGTACACTTAAGTAATACAACCACAAAACTACCAATGAAGGGATAATAAATATGGGAATCAATAGATATATTTCTCTTACCATATCATAGACATTCACGGTCACTGGCGTTGGAACGGGATTATTTGTCGAATGAGTTGTAGTACAGTTAGGTGTAGTTGTGTTGGTTTCTGTTTTATGATTCTCTGATGTTGATGTTTGAGTTGATGAAACACGATCTAATTTCATCCGCAATTTCTCCCAGAATCCCATCACTGGATTCATTTTTTCCACTTATTCATCTTTTCGGAAAACTATCCAAACAGTAAAACCTAAAATGATTTCGTATCAACCAATGCATATCACTAAAGAACATTTTCTCCGTAATAAATAATAAATCGGAATGTTCCTGAAGTCCTTACTAATTCTATAGTTCAGTAATCAGAAACTCTGATTAATGTAAAAAAAAATCAATCTTACTAGAGTCAAACTTGCTACCGATTCTATACACAATTTTATCAGTAGTGATGTGACGAAAACAGATCTTGACAAATATGATAAATGTGCTATTTAACATTTAAAGCATTACAACCTCCTTTGAAAAGCATTATCTGAACGAATGGGTTCATTGGTTCCAATGCACATTATCTAAAACGTAAACTCCGCTAGGCAGAACTAGCGAATTATTTGTTTTTTGAGATCTGCCGCTGGGTAACGAGCGCATTCTTGGCTACAAAAATGTATAATTCTTGCTATATTCTTTCTAGAAACTGAGGGACAAAACAACCCAATTAATAATAGTGATTGAGGAGCAACACTTGAAGTAATTATCCTTAGTATTTATAGGACTAAACTAATCGTCAGTCCTCCATTTGAAAGATTAGGTAGAGTGTGAGATCACTATAGCTTCCATCAATGATCCGAACCGCAAAAATTTAGGACGATAGGTCTATCAAACAAAACTGTCACCAAAGTGGACGGATGGTTGAGATATTTTTGCGATTTTACAAGGCAATTATTCAATTGTGGCCCACTAAGTAGAGAGCAGGCTTATGAGAACCACTGAACCTACTGTGAAAAGGTTTTGTCTTAATGATGGTCCAACTGTCACACGCATATGGCGATGATCTTGACATTAACGTTTTTTCTCCTTTTCATTCGAGAATAATCGTTTGAGAGGATATTCTAAGAAAGTTCAAAAACCGAGGTCAAATAGTTTACACCTAGAGTTCCGTTTCTCGAACTAAATAGTGAACGACCGGAATTCTCTATCAGAACACGTAATATCAGCATCCTCTGTGGACACGCTCAAAGCAAGGCCTGATCTTGACAGTACTACAGACTGAAAAGATTAATACGGATCCACTGACCTATCCTGACAAGTGGAGATTGAAGTATTAGCTAATTAGCACATATAATGTCAGAGCAAGACCTGCATGCCCCTTTGATATTCCCAGATAAGCAAAGTTTTCGAACCCAAAACGACTTATGAAAAATAAACAGAAGGAGATCTCATGCGTGGAAAAAGATCTGCACCATAATCATGAGAAAAGCAGCACAAAAAGCTGTAGACGCGGATATACGTCAGTTTCCAGTAGTCTACACAATCTTTAATGTTTACAGTATGTGATAAACTGCTTTTTGATACCATTTTTACTGATCAGAGAGATGTAAATAGTAAGGAAAAATGAGAATAATAGGACAATATAAAAGTTATGTGATGCTGACTACGCTCTTTACTAGTTTCAGTGCTACAGGCTTTCAATTGTACACCATCATTTTTGTCATTTTTGGAAAGTATCGTTAATAAACACTTTTTTCTCATTTTATTGTGGAAAATCATAAGATTCTTAATATTAATGTGCACATTGGTATACAAGATATTTTCCAGAGCACTAATTAAAGTAGCTATTTACCAAAACCTGTTTTTCAAGAGTTCCTTTGAGAATTTGAAGTCCACTTACACACTAATTGGCTGCTTCGATGAAGTCGAGAAATATTTTATTTACTGAACGGAATCTTGTTCCATCCTCAAGGTCATCGAGGTTTTAAACGTCGCGCAGAATCTGGATTGTTACGGCAACTCAAATCTCTCAAATGGTTGTGGACGGAATAGAACAAGATTTCGCTTAATGGGGGCTTCCGTGTCTAGTGACAGTGGGTCACCAACACCTCCAGCCAAGAACCTACGTATATTAACGACAAGAGAGGAAAAGATATTGGTAAATTATAACAATATATTATCATTAAACCTTAAAAATAGGTCAAGTTTCCTCTTAATTATCTCTCGAGAAGTCGCTTGGACTCGTTCAGCTGACATCAAATTCCAGCATTTGACAACTCTTAACGAGAAGAAGCTGTATCTACAGTCCGTTCTGTTGTGTTGTATCTCCAGTTTCTGGGTGTACCCCTTGGGTTAGTGTTGGAGCTAAGCATAAGTAGGCTTTTAAAGGAATGTCCAGAAATGTTAAGGATAGTGTAAGCTATTAGAAGATCACCTATAAGACGCCTGTACTTTAATGGGTAATGGTTAAGTGATTGGAGGAGCTCTTCATAAGGTTTGAATTCGAGTCCCCGAACTGATTTCGTGGCTTGCCGTTGGATACGTTCCAGAGTGTTATTATCCTTTTGGAGTGAGGGAGGATACTATGTTTCCGTACTCTAAGTGGGAACGGAAATGACTGTTGAAGGGTATGTGGAGAGTTCTTCCGTCAAACTGGCCAAAAATGCGTCTAAACTTTACCAGGGCAAGGTTTGTTAGAAAGGCATTTTTGTCACATGAGACTTAAAAGCGTAGGCTGCCAGCACTCCTATATCTTTTTCAACTTGAATCACTTCTATAGAGAAGTCGCCTAGGTTGTAGCTATAGTCTGCAGCACGATTCGGACTACTTTACACTTTGAAATGTTAAAGGTAAGTTCGTTATCGTCTGCCCAACTTTGAAGTCGAGTCAGATCCTCCTGAAGTGCCAGTATACCCTTTTGGTTGCGTATCTCTCTCCAAAGTTCCACATAATTAGCAAAGAGTAATGTCATACGATACCTTTTATGGAAGACAATCCATAGATCCAGTGATCCTCTTTCAAAGTTAATCAAAGAACTTAAGCAGAGCATTTATAAAATGTGAACAGGCTATCACACATTAAATATGTTTATGACGAGATAGTTTAGACCGAATGATTTCTCTTGCCATTTATCTCGATATTACCGAAGTGCACTATCCTCAACTAATTCGACAGATGTTTGTGTGACAGCAGTAATAACGTTACCAGGTAGGGAATAGTTCGATGGCATTATGAATATCGTAAAATTCAAGATGTAGGGTAGATTCGAGGGGCTAAATGACAAAGAAAAGTTAGTAATTTAATTAGACAACAAAATAAGTAAACAAATGTGCAAGGACGAAGAAACAACGAAAATTTGAAACTGGTGAAGTGGATAGGACAGATAGATAATGATAATAGTTGCAGGGATAAGAATAATATATTATTGCTATGGTGAAGCTAGATAAGTTATAAGACATGCAGCAAGTTTAAGAACAAGTTCCAAATCGTTTTTCTATGTTACAGGATTCAACTAGCAGCTGTTTCACTGGTAAGATGGTGAATAGTGAGTGAGTACCTGATGATGGAGCTATCTTTTAAAAACCCTAACCGATGGGGCGATAGACACGTTAGCAGAGAGAGTAAACTAGATAGGACAGACAGGTGATAAGGAAGAGTTGGAATTCACCCAGGTGGTTGCTCTTGGATGTGCAGCTCATAGCCAGTGACTTCGTGGCGCACAGTGGTAGGTGTCAAGTAAAAGTTTAGTCGGAATGACCTGGGGTGTCCTAATTTGTGTACTTATCAGGTGGCTTGCTTTTCTTATATATTCTAGCTACAATAGTTTCAAGTGGTAGTCACTCCTTGCATTATCCATCGCTTGATCTGATCACATGTTTTTGATTGAGATCATGAACCTACTGATGTCAGACCACTGTTGGAAACCTGGAAGCACTAGGACTCCTCAGAAGTGCTCTCGGGTTTCAAACCCAGGGCTTTCAATCTCGCGCGTGAACGCTTAACCTGGTGGACCACAAAGCCGGCATGTCAGATTTGATGGAAAACATAAAATATGAGGTAGAGTAATGATATACAGAGAGGTACCTGGGAGTACTCTTGCTCTCAACTTTACAAGCTTTTTAGCGATTCAGTTCATCAAGTTCCGTATTCCCCTGTATGAGTAATTTGGTCGTGTCGTTTACAAGTGAGACAATTTCAGTATATTGTACATACAAGCGTCACCTCAAATGACCCCATTTATTCATCTTATAAATAAAATACATATCGTCTATTGAGACCAGTTTGTTCCCAACTATCTGGTTCAGAAACGAGAAATAATGTGTCCGTCAATCAGTTCATATAAGCTGCGGTGCATACACTTAATACTGCTTTCAGGTTTAAAGCAGTGAAGTCTAGGACTCACTTTTCGTCTTTTCAGAAGCTCACCATTTGTAAGCACATGCTTCCAGAGTTGATGTTCATTCTAGGAGGGGTTCATCCAACTGACGAGTCCCAAATAGGATGAAGTGTTCGTCCTGGATTTCATTAATAGCCATCTCTGATTTAAATGCTCGTGACTTGCCGTAAATATCGAGGTGATCCACAGAGGATGCACATATGTCAAAAACAAACTGATTAGTTGGAGTCGTAAAAATCAATTGAAACATCCAAACAACCAATATACTTGTGTAGCGGTAAATAAATCCCCAAAATAAATAGCTCTGTAAGTTTTCGACATTGGATGCTGACCATATGTTTTAGTGGACTCATCTAACTGAAGGCACTCGGTCAGGCATCCGCACCAGATCACGTGTGGTAACGCCGTGCTCAACATCAACCGCAATCGCTAGCCAGATTAGATCAGAGAATTCCGATATATTGGTCATCGCCAAATATACTCTTCCGATCTCCTCGACTCTGTCTTTTGATTTCTCTGGGCGGGAACGAAATATATTGGAAGGTGTTACTGGTAGAAGCGTTGTCAAACACTGAATACCTGTGAAATCATCATTGGTGAGCCCGACACGCATCGACGACCCTTCGAATCAGCATACGAAGGACCTTTCAAAGTTCTTCAATGCGAACCGAAGTACTATATAATCGATAAGAACGGAACAAACGATAGCATCAGCATCGATCGCCTCAAAGCAGCGTATTTAGAAGGAAATCCTATCTACGTGGATTTTCCTTCGGTACAATCGAACGACACGACTCCGACACTAATAATACCTCATCCGACAAC